AACAACTTGATTACTTCTCTAATATCAAAATGAACATCTCTTGTTAATCGTAACCTTAAACCCATGCTTCATTCTAAGAATTAAACTAGTATCTGGTTCAAACTTCTGCCCTTTGGCAACCTTAATGTCATAGTTTTGTAATATCTCCACGGCCACAATCTTCATTTGAATCATAGCTATTTGTTTACCGAGGCATATTCTTGGGCCGGCATTGAATGCTAAGAACTTGAAGGCAGGTACATGTCTCAACTCTCCGGTCTCGGAAATCCATCTCTCTGGCTTGAATTCTGATGCATCTTCTCCCCATACAGCTCTCATCCTACCCACCCCATAAATAAAGACCAAAATATTTGAGTTTGCTTCGACTTTATGTCCACTTGGAAGCACATCTGATTCTACAGGAGACAAACGCTCGAGAGGAACCGGTGGGCAAAGCCTCATTGTTTCACACAATGCGGCCTGTAAATACACTAACTTGTTTAAGTACTCCATTGCATCACAAGATGGCCTCTCGTGGCCACTACTACTTCTTGGTAGAATCGTGTCAATCTCTTGGCGAATCCTAGTCACCACTAGAGGGTTTTCGGACAAAAACGAGAAGAACCAAGTGAGAGCAGAGGCAGTGGTATCTCTCCCAGCTAGAAGTAAAGCAAAGACATTGTCTCGGAGGAACTTATCATTGATAGGATCCATGAGCTGGTACTTGGTTGTATCAAGCTTTATGTGAGATGTCAAAAGATGTTCACTTTCTCCATTATTAATCCCTTGTGATCTTTTAATCTCTTCTCTCCTGGCTGATATGTATTTCGCACACACTCGATCAAAAATGGCACCAGCTTCTATCATCTTCTTCTCTATCCCGACTCCGACCCAGCTTTGTAGCTTCCACAAGAATCTAGGTTTAACATGCCTATAAACGATCCCTTCTACAATAGTGTCCAGAGCTTTAGCGGACTCAATTACTGGCATTTCAATGGAGAGAGATCTAGGATCATCACACCCGGTTACTGTAACTAGAGTTGTATCGAACGTGAACCTCCAGAACACATCTTGCAAATCTACAGTTGTGCCTTCCCGAGCGATATGATTGAAAAGTGGAACAAGCCCGTCCTTAACTTTACTTCTCGTGGTAGTCAATGACAATCTTTGAAACCCTTGATGGTTGATCATGGCCTGAGAAGCTTTCCTCAGATTCTTCCATGCCAACGAGTCCTTTGTGAGTAAAGCATCTTCGAAGGCATCAAAGATCTCTTTGAAGTTGGAACCTTTAACAAAATTGGAGAAGTTTGAGTTTACTAGGTAGTAAATATTAGCTGGATCAGCTGTGAGCAGCATATCCATTCCAGCGAACCACGGTCCCTTGAATGGAAATGTTAACTCGGTGCTTTCAAGAAGCTCCACAGTGAAGTCGTAGATACGGTGGAGCACCAAGAAAAGACCCGGAATCATCCCCAACACCGGCCAGTTAATTATAAGGAACTGGTAAAGAGGTTTCTTGAAGAGGAAGCGATGGAGGATGAGAAAGCAAATGATGGCTATGGAAACTCCAATTAAGCTTGTTGAAGCCATAAGAGAAGGAGTATATTTAATATAATTTTTTTTTTTTGGCAAAATCTAAAACACAAACGTAAAGTCAGAGTAATTTCTTTTAGTTTACCTTCACAATTAACAAATTAAAACAATTTGTTGAAGTAGGCATGAGTTTAATTAGTACGAAAATAATGAACTAAATTATTTGTTGGTAAGTAAGACTTTCCAAATAAAGAATAGTGTAAATTCGTTTCTTTCGTTTTGTCGTTCCCCGTTTTTTGTATAAATGTATTTATTTGTATTTTGATATCTTTGAAATGATATTTAAAATTGATCAGACAACTATGAGCTATCCAGTCCAGTGTTTTGCACTGGCCACTGTGCATACTAACCACAAATGGATGAGACATATTAAAGTTTCACCAATCACCAATATCTTTCCCAATCTCCAGTCACCATAATACTTGGTGTCGGTAGGACTGTGTCACTACAAGAAAACATAGCAATTTCCGACGAACATTTCCGACGAAATATTTACTCGGAATTATTCCGACGGATTTCCGGGGAATTTCCGACAAACTTCCAAGAAAATAATATTTCGTCGGAAACTCGTCGGAGACATAAAAACTTTTCCGACGATTAAAACTTCGGTCGGAATTTCGTCGCGAATATTTGTCGGAAACCATGGAAAATCCGACAATCCAATGTCATCG